GTCTGGATGGGTATCATCATCATCTAGGTCCTTAAATCTCCCTTATCTATGTCCAGGCTCACTGTCTTCTTTCCTCCATCTTGTGTTTGTCCTGAAGGCTTGTATTATCATTGATTAGACTCCAGCTTACTAAATTATAATCACAGTGCCTTCTGGATGAAAACATCCTGATTTTCTTGATAAAGTTTTTGCTACTTCTGATCTCTTCATCTATTCTTTTACATGCCAGTCCAGGTACTATTAGCCAATTAGTCCAGGTACAGATGAGCAAAAATCCATTTAGAGCTCATTTTGTTAATGAAACTCTCACAATACCATTTTATTTTTGTTATACCTTGTCCAAATTCCCATCTTCTGTATCACTTTAATTTCTTTCTTTCCTTCCTTTCTTTCTTTCTTTCTTTCTTTCTGTCTTCCTTTCTCTCTCTCTTTCTTCCTTTCTCTCTTTCTTTCTTTCTTCCTTTCTCTCTTTCTTTCTTTCTTCCTTTCTCTTTCTTTCTTTCTTCCTTTCTCTCTTTCTTTCCTTCTCTGTCCCCTCCCTTCTCCCTCTCCCTCTCCCCTCCTTTCCCCTCCCCCTTTCTCTTTCTTCTTTTCTGTTCGTGATGCTGGGACTCAAACCCAGGTACATCACAAGCCCTTGGATTTTTGAAACAAGAGTCTTCCTGTGTAGGCCAGACTGGCCTGAAGCTTGCTAAGTAACCCAGGCTGGCCTCAAACTCACAATCCTTGGGCTTCCACCTTGTGAGTGCTGGGATTACAGGTGTGTACTATACTGGTTTTTCTGTCACTTTTGTGTGCTTCCCATGGTGTCACATCCCTTCTTTTATCCTCTTCACAGGACAGACCCTTGGGTTTTTAGAGGGCAGAATTATATTTACAGCCCAAGACATGGATAACCATTATTCAGTTCAAGCATTTTTATAGCTCCCAACCCCTTGAATAATTTCTAAATATGATTCTGCAGAATAGTCACATACAACATTCTAAGTCTGACATTTCAAACATAAAATATATCTTAAGTGAACCTGGCTTGTAATGATAACATATTCAGTCACTGAGTTTCCAATTATTTTTTTCCATTTCAGCATAAAACCAGATGAGACACAACGGCTGAAAAACCAATTGTGTTCTTTATTTTAGGAGACAGCAGCTGACAGTGATGCAAAACCCAAACCATTAATTTTTCTGAAGTGTCCTTTTTGCTCTTAACCTTGTAACTTCCTGTTCTTTTCAATCTTGAGACCCTCTGATCCCTGCAGCCTCGAAGGCTTTGGTGATGAAGGGGAAAGGATTAGAGTAAGTCCAGGTGGTCTGCAATGACCTGGGCAGTTTTCTTTGAGGGGGCTACCTCTTGATCTGTGGGAAGCAGCTCAGTTTTGAGTCATTTTAGCGAAGTTCTGGTTTGGTGCACCGTATAGAACACACACTTAGAAGTTTTAGAAAGTTGGGGAGATTCTAGACAAAATCCTGTCCTTTCAGATCTCCTGAGATTTTGAGGTCAGCCTGACCTTATGGCTACTGGGAGGCTCTAGGCAGCTTTTGAGTAGGTATCTAGTTATATCTAGAAGCCTGGAGAGAGTCAAGAAAACCAAGTGTAACTTGCATGTAGATTGTATTTCACAGACCTGAAGGGAAGCTGAGGGACAGTGTCTTAGGATAACGCCCAATCATAAAACCTGGGAAATCATCCTTAGAGTTATAGTTTTTTTTTAAGCATTAGGATTTGAACTCATGGTCTCATGCTTGCTAGGCAGGTGCTCTTAACTGCTTGAGCCACTCCACCATCCCAGAGTTATAATTCTTACAGGGCTGTATAGAAAGAGTTCAGATAAGAAACCAATGAAATGTGCTCAAAAGTTGAGTATGAAAGACGGGCCTGGTGAGTTTCTTATGTTGACAGTGTCTGTTCTTAAATTCTCTATTTTGCGTTATAATAACCCCCTTCTATGGAGGATGTATTCCAACACCTCCAGGAGATGCCTGAAACTGTGTATATAACCAGATTTTCTTCCTATACACCCTGCATTGTTGCTACCAATGTTGATCTGTCCTTCCATGTTTTATGCCCTGGTGCCTCCTTTGTACTACTACTTTTATACTTTGGGGCCATTATTACGTAAAATAAGGGTTACTTGAACACAAGTACAGTGACACAGATAATTGAAATGGCTATTAATTGACATGACTAATGGTCATACACAGTGTGGATATACTGAACAAAGGAAGGAGTTAAATCTTGAGCAGGGTGGAGTAGGATGGCATTCAATTTCATCACACTAGAAGGGTGCGCAATTTAAAACTGGCGAGTTGTTGTAGAATTTTCCATTTAATATTTTGAGACTGATGTTGCCTGCAGGTACTTGAAACTGCACAAAGTAAAACTACAGATAAAAGGGTACTGCTATTATATAATATACACCTGTAATAATTCACAAACTATCACATAACTTATGAGCTATGAATAGCTTTCTTATTAGCCAATACAGTTGAAGCTGTTGTATTCGCTTCTCTAATTATATGACTCTCTGTCTCCTAGAGGTAATCATGATCTTGAATTCGCCATGAATTTACCTATATTTATACCATATGTATTCATAAATCAGATACAATATTTTGCAAATTATATCCTTCATAATTTGCATGAATTCTTCTGTAATCTTTTTTTCACTCAGCATTTTTGTGGGATATATTAGGTTGATACACGTAACATCCAAGTTCATAACTGTTTTAGCAGCACTGTTGTGTATGCTGTAGTTGTGGGGAAAGAGTAAGAGAGAAGGAGGGAGCCCCTTTAGGGCCCTGACCTGTTGCAGACAGTCTAGTATGTGTACCTTAGTGTCCAAAGTGATGACCCAATTCAGCTGCAAGAGAGGTGATAGGATCTGGCTGGCAGAGGAAGCTAATTATAGTGGAGGAATCTGAATTTGCATAGAGAATCCAGAATCCACACAATATAAATACCATTTCATAGTTTAAAAAACATGAAATAAGTACTTAGTAAGTGCATGTTTACTGACTTAAAATTTATTTTTTGAGTTAGGCACATCGGCATTTCAAACCTTGGTAGTTTTACAAGCACTATGAGAAAATGACCTAACTAATTTTTCTCTCCTTTGTTTTTTCAATCTTTTCAGTGTTGTCTGCATTCTGTCTCAGGGAACATGATTCCTGCACTGTAACTTTCTGAAGCATTGAGGTTGAAGATCATTATTGAAACTCAGCTGCTGCCTGACTGTACACCACAGCAAAGGCTTTGAAGGTCTTTTTCGGTTAAAACAATAATGACTTTCTTGGAATGTAATCCCAGGAAAGCCTGTTTTCTGTGTATCTTGAAAGAATACCTAGTCACCATCAGCAATTCTGCAGAGACCTTGTAAAAACCATTTAAATTGAACAACTGAGTGACTCTGGGTTGGTCAGGGAGACCCTTAACAATTGTACATACCAATTCACCTCCTGGAAGATTCAACCACTGCTACTCAGAGCTGCTGTTGAAATATCATGTCTAAGAACTCAGAGTTCATCAATCTGTCATTTTTATTAGATCATGAGAAGGAAATGATCCTGGGAGTCCTAAAGAGAGATGAATATTTGAAAAAAGTAGAAGACAAGAGAATAAGGTAATATCCTCTTATTGTTTTCGCCATCTTTAACTGCTTTCTGTTTGTGTGAGGCAATTTAGATCAGAAATGTGGTAAATGCAACCACACTGGAGACAGATATTGGTTTGGGACATTATCAGCTCCCAGAAGTATCCCAAATATTAGAACACATCTTTGGCATTGTACCATTTAGCCAAATAGGAGGATGCAATTGAACTAATACTAGGGTGTTGATGAGAACACACATTTGTTAACATCATAACTAATAATTGTAAGGACTACCCAAGTTTGAGTGCCAACTCTGGAATATATTAATTATGTGACTTAAGAGCTTATTATAACTTGGATCTAGACTGTCCCCTCAAAGGCCAATGTATTAAAGCCTTAAGTTTCCCAACCTGTGAGTCTACTAGGAGGTGGTAGAACTTTTAAGAGGTGTGGCCTAGTGAGTGGTCTTAGGTCACTCAGGGCATGATCTCAAAGGGAGTTATGGGATACAAGTCTTTTCCTCTCTTATTTCCTAGCCACCGTGAGGTGAACAGCTCTGCTTTGCTACATGTTCCCATCGTGAGGCCACAGGCCCAAAATAACAGGGCTAAGTGACCATGGACTGAAACCTCTGACACTGTTAACCAAAATAAATCTTCCCTCTTTCGAAATGATTGTCTCAGTTATTGGGTATCTCAGGTATTAAAGTAATGGAAAGCTGACTAATACATTACTCTTCTTCTCCATGCCTTTGTTTCCTTGTCAGCAAAGAAAGAATGACAATAGCACTACCTTACAGAATTGTTGTAAAGATTAAGAAAGCTGATACATGTGCAGTGCTTGGTTCCTGAGTGTTCAATAAGTGTTGGCTGTTATTTATTTGTAATGCTTTTCTCAGGTCAGTCTTAGTGGGGATTTGCCTTTGCCACCGCTGGGAGAAAAAGAAAGAGTTCTAGGGAGTGAAAAGTTCCCATGGAAATCCCCCACATCACTTGAATTTCCTGGAACAAGTTTTTTTTTTGTGTGAAGAAAGTAATATGGGCACAGTTGAGTTTCACATCTATTTTAGGCTAGGCTAATATTTAGCTGATTACCCAGGTATGACCTCACCTCACTTCAGTCAGCATCCATCCTGAGTGGTTGCGCTGTCTGCTCTGAATAGTCACATCACCATTGCGATTTGTTGCAATATCCATTGTGATTGGTGGCTGCCTGTGCTGCCTGGTTGTTAAACATACTTAGTTAATTACATTTCACTCCAAAGAAAGGGTTAAGTATAAAAAAATACAAATAAAGAAAGCTCCCTGCTTGGTCACTGCCAATTGTGCAATGTGTAGCTTTTGTGTCTTGTATTGCTCACTAAACTATAATCTGAACCTTATGTTTATTTTTTACTTTAATTTTAATTTATGGTGCTGGGAATTGAACCCAGGACCTCATGTATACTAAACATATGCTCTACCACTGAGCTACAGGCCTAGCCCGTGGACCTTATGTTTATTTTTCTTGAGAAAATTTGTATGATATTATCTTCACATATTGCAAAAATACTCAATGTGCCTGAAGCAATTAGGAATACATTGAAATATCCTAGATTAATATTTATTTCATATTTAAGGCTCAGAGGCTTTATTTCCATTTCTCTTGATGAAACAAAGGTTTTGATTAAAATTATTGTCCTTTTTCTTTGCTAGAATTCAGGTGGCAATGAAATGAAATTAATCATTTTAAAGAAACCAGAAATTAAATTTTTAGCATTAGTAGTTCAGTTATGAAAGTGACTGAATTTTCTAATGCACTGCAAAACATTACATTGTTTATAGAGAATGCCATATTGAACATTTATGGATGACACTTTCAGGGAAATTACAAATCACTCTCTTAAGGAATCAATAATTTAATAATCAGATCCCTGGAAAGACTGAAAAGTAATGAATAGGACTTCGTTCAGAATATTTGTTTCTGTCATTTGCAATAACTTTTAGAAATAATCTATTCTATTCCCCAATTCCCTTTTCCCATTCTACTTTTCCCCTTGTCTTTTTAATCACTATAAATGAATTTAGTCAAGTTGTGTAATATACAAAAGAGATGGCAAGAATACAGTCACAGATTCCTGGATTTTTAACTTTTTTGAAAATAGAAGAATAAAGGCTTTTAAAAATAGATCTAAGAGATACTTTCATAGAAAAAAATATATATATTTAAAGCTATGACCTTTTCAATTCTTTAATAGCAACCATGACTAATATTTATTGAATATCCTGCTTAACTGTACCAGGTGTTTTGTTAAGAGCCCCCAAGGTAAGAGCTTGGCCTGGGTGACTAAGGCACGGCTACTCTTAACAGCTTTGTGTAGTGAAAAGTCATGCCAAAGTGTTTAGAATACATGCTGTCATACTTCCAGAAATCAAATCTTTGATGTAGCATGAACTCTTTGGACTTTAGATAAGATGTTTCCATAGATGAGTGTAGTTTCCTTATTTGACAAAATAAGTAATATTTGATACCACAGAAGGCTGTTGTTAGGACTAAAGCTAATATTATAAAGACCTCAGAACTGTGTTGGCTAAACATAAGCACTCATAATTGCCTGTTGTGATAATTTTCCCTTTCATTGGCTTGTGTTGCCCTTGTACAATAGATACTCTCAGTGCTCTACTCAGATCCCCTGGGGTCCCTTTGTTTCATGTGCTCTACTTCTAAGGATTTACAGCTTCTACCCTGATTAAGGGGGTACATGACTAGAGTTTCCCATAAGATTAGATAGCCACAAGTGCCAGGTAAACTTGAGTTTAAACTGGGCAGCCCAAAATCAATGGCTGACACGTACAGAAACTCCTGCTCTCAGGTCAGGACAGACTCTGCAATGCAACTTATGCTCCAGCGCTCCTTGTGAGATCAGGCTGAGGCTGGATTTTCCCTAAAAATCATGTCCTTGCTTATCCCTTCCATTTGCCCTCTTCTGCCTCCCTTACTCCCTTACAGATTTCCTCTAAGAGTACCCGAGAAGTCACTTGCACACCAATGTATAGTTCAGAATTAGCTTCTGCAAAGTCCAGCCTGAGCCCTGTAAAGCTTATGTTAATAAGACCATTGCTATTTAACAAAGTTTGTTTCAAACGAAATATAATAAGTCTGGGAGTGAGCATTAAAGTAAAAAAAATTCATTCATTTGATTTACAAGCTAAGATGCTCCCAACAATTTTTATCAGAGTCATTGAAGTTTATATACTAGTAGAGAAAGAAGTAAGGCAGTACAGCCCAGACAAGCATCTTGGTCAAATAGTGTGACTTTCTTTTGGCTTTTTACCCTCTGTCCTCCTCTGATTCTCCCTGTTTTGTTTTGTTTTGTTTCCACTATGAGTTTAAATATAACCTAAATTCAGTTCAGGGCAGCTTAACTCTGACTAAACAGGCCATCATGACGATTCAATTATGCAAGTATTTTGATCACCTGCATTACTGATAACATCATGGACTCTGGAAGAATGGTAGGATGATATCAAAGAAAAGAGGACCTACCTCAAGTGCTCTAGTGTAGAATTTAAGAGCTCTATGAGCTTGAATTGAAGAAAACTTATACCTTTATTTTTATCAGGCTCAACTGAAATTTAGCATCTGAGTTAAGTGGACACTATCTCAGGGATTTTTATAATATTCATCTTCCCCAATTCCCACACTCTTGTGAATTTTATACCAAATCCTGCCTTTATATTCTTGTTTTTGCAGAACTTTCCCTCTTTCCTTGCATCTTACCACTTGTGACTATCCCTTACTCTTTGTTTGCTAGGTCAGACAGGGAACTTAGTCCTGTTTCCTTAACATCCTCCAAAACCATCAACAGAAACAAGTTAGGTGTGTAACAGTTTACTATTAGAGAAAACTTTGGTACATTATATTTTGTAGGAGTCTAGAGGGTGAAGTAATTATGAATAAGATGGAAATTGAAGGAATGGTTTGTTTTGGCTTTGAAATCAGAAAAGAATTTCCCAAAATTATCAAATGTAGCTCACCTGGATTTCAGCTATTTACCATGAACCACAAAATTAACTTCATATCAGATTCAGAAGTAAATAGAGGCCAAATAATTTTTTAAAGAATTATAAAGACTATAAAGAAACATACCTGAAAAGTTAGAAAATTGGAATTTGGGAAAAAAGTTTATTATGTGTTTATTTAAGTTTTTCTTTGAGATGAAAGAAGTATAAAAATTGTATTGAAGGAATATATTAGGCGTGATGCCCAAATGTGCTCCACAGTCAACATAGCCACTAAAGTGTGGCTACTGTCACACTTAATTAATATTAAAGTGGGACCTGTCTCAGGGGCTCATGAACATGCTCTACACACACAAAGCAAATAGCAAGTCTTACAGTTACCTCCAGGCATGAATATGTAGATATAGATATAGATATAGATACATGTGTATCTATATGCGCATGTATCTATATCTATATATATATTCCTTCAGACTAAGCAGGAAGGAGTGGTAGGAGACATCTAGACACAGGTTTTGACCGTGAGAGAATAAGAATTTTAAATGTTCTCTGTGGAGAACAAATCACTCAGATTTATTGATGGCTCTAATGCAATGAAGAAAGAAGGAAGAGCTGTTGTGAAGAAAATTGAGCTATCAATAGTAATTGTAAGTGGAAAAAAATACTTACAGTTTGTGAGCACAGACAGAAATCATTATTATTGTATCTTAGTTTTTTCTAACTTTGAAAGAATCAGACTATCGTAAAGTATACGTGGCTCATAGTATCTATTCCTAAAAATCCTCATTAACAAATTCTTACTCCATTTGATCTCCTGTACCTAAAAACAAATGCTATTAAATGTCTACTTTGTGGTATATAAGAATTCTTCAGCTTATAAAGTATTCACTACAGCAGCTTATTTATATGCTATATTCTCACTTGGGGACTGTCATTTCCATTTGGCCACCATACATAAAAACATAGCTGCCCTTATATTCCCTTTGGTACCTGATTTTGCCTTGCCTCAATGGTAGACCCTATTAGATGCCTTAAAGCATACATTTCTCCTTTCTTTCTCCCTTTCCAAATTTGCTTTGCTCAGCTCTAGCAGATTTTTAAATAATTAACCATACCAAAACTGAGATTCCTCTGGCAAATGTCATGATCTGCAGGTGGACATGAGACCAGAAAATGGCCCATTCAGACATATGTCTCACTGGACATGTCTAATGAAACATATTTCCTATTTGCTTAGGATGCTGGCCAACACACTGAGGAGGATGAATCAAAAGTGGCAGCATCCTGATATACTAGAACCTGCCACACCACTGAAATTCTTGTTTAAGCAATATAATATGCTTCTTTATTGTATATAGCGGTTTGAACCAGATTTTGTTATATGTAGACAAAAGTATCACAATTCCTGAGAATCAGAATTAGTAACATTTGTTGAGCACCTTCTGTAAGCCCAGTACTATTTGTAGAGGGTTGAGGGATGTTCTAGGAATTGAACCCAGAACCTTGTTTCTGCTAAGCACATGTTAAATCACCAGCTTCAGTTGCTTTTTTTATTATTGGAAAAATGGAAGTGAGCAGACACACTTGTTGGATCCATAAAAGTTTTCAGTTATGAATCAGGCTTTTTTCTTGTTGTAGATCAGGGGCCAGCATTTTCTTTTTTTTTCCATAAAAGGCCAGAGAGTAAATATTTTTGGTCCCACAAGCCATATGTTCTATGCTACAACTACTTTGCCATTGTAGTATGAAAACAACAATAGAAAACATACAAACAAATGGATATGGCTGTCCTCTAATAACACTTTATTTATTGAAACCATCGTGGGGCTGACACTTAGTGTTAAAGACAGCACCTTGGTGAGTTTCAGCCTTGGGAATATCTACATACATCTGAGAGCCCTGATAGCTATCTCAGGGAAAAGCAGAGGCATCTGCTGACCAAGAGATTAGGTGAAGTTGGACTAAAGCTATAAGAAATAGAGCATGTGTTGCTGTCTGGGAGTTTGGATGATTTCACAGGGTCCCACCATCTCCAGATTATGTCTCACTCAATCAGTGGCAGCTCACATCCTAAGACAGGTTACATGAGTTTCATTGCTTCTGATAGAAGAATAATGAGAAGTCTAAAAATATCAAGAAATAGAAGAAGGTTTTGTAAAATTGCCTGGGAAAGGCTACAAATTCATTTTATCAGTAAGGGAAGAACTATTAATAGTTCCATTTACAGATGAGGAAACAGATGTGTAATGTTAACTTGGCCAGTCACCCAAGCTAGAAAGTGGCAAAACTGCAAATTGTAACCCTGCAGTCTTGCTTCAGCACCCACACACTCCACAGCTGGGCCACTTTGAACTTCTGAGTGATTTATCCGACCTTGCAGGGGACCAGAAAAAACAGTACTTCATTCAATGCCTACCCCCCACCAGATAATGTACTACTCAATTCACAGATGTATCCTAATTTCATCCCCATGTCAT